GAATAAAAACAATATGATCATCTCAATAGATGCAGAAAAAGCTTCTGACAAAATTCAACACCCATTTAGGATAAAAACTCTCCAGAAAGTGGGCAAAGAGGGAACCTACCTCAACATAATAAAGGCCATATATGACAAACCCACAGCAAACATCATTCTCAATGGTGAAAAACTGAAAGCACTTCCTCTAAGATCAGGAACAGACAAGGATGTCCACTCTCGCCACTATTATTCAACATAGTTTTGGAAGTCCTAGCCATGGCAATCAGAGAAGAAAAAGAAATAAAAGGAATCCAAATCGGAAAAGAAGAAGTAAAACTGTCACTATTTGCAGATGACATGATACACTATACATAGAAAATCCTAATGATGTCACCAGAAAACTACTAGAGCTAATCAGTGAATTTCGTAAAGTTGTAGGATACAAAATTAATTCACAGAAATCTCTTGCATTCCTATACACTAAGAACAAAAGATCAGAAAGAGAAATTAAGGAAACAATCTCATTCACCATTGCAAAAAAAAGAATAAAATACCTAGGAATAAACCTACCTAAGGAGGTAAAAGACCTGTACTCAGAAAACTATAAGACACTGATGAAAGAAATCAAAGATGACACAAACAGATGGAGAGATATACCATGTTCTTGGATTGGAAGAATAAATGTTGTGAAAATGACTCTACTACCCAAAGCAATCCACAGATTCAATGCAATTCCTATCAAATTACCAATGGCATTTTTTACAGAACTAGAACGAAAAGTCTTAAAATCTGTAAGGAAACAGAAAAGACCTGGAACAGCCAAAGCAATCTTGAGGGAAAAAAACAGAGCTGGAGGAATCAGGCTCCCTTACTTCAGTCTATACTACAAAGTTACAGTAATCAAGACAGTATGGTACTGACACAAAAACAGAAATATAGATCAATGGAACAGGATAGAAAGCCCAGAGATAAACCCACTCACCTAACGTCAACTAATCTATGACAAAGGAGGCAAGGATATACAATGGAGAAAAGACAGTCTCTTCAATAAATGGTGCTGGGAAAACTGGACAGCTACATGTAAAAGAATGAAATTAGGGGCTTCCCTGGTGGCGCAGTGGTTGAGAGTCCGCCTGCTGATGCAGGGGACACAGGTTCATGCCCCGGTCCAGGAAGATCCCACATGCCGCGGAGCAGCTGGGCCCGTGAGCCATGGCCACTGTGCGACCGGAGCCTGTGCTCTGCAACGGGAGAGGCCACAGCAGTGAAACTTCCGCGTACCGCAAAAAAAAAAAAAAAAAAAAAAAAAAAAGAATGAAATTAGAACACTCCCTAACACCATACACAAAAATAAACTCAAAATGAATTGAAGACCTAAATGTAAGACCAGACGCTATAAAACTCTTAGAGGAAAACATAGGAAGTATACTCTTTGATGTAAATCACAGCAAGATCTTTTTTGACCGACCTCCTAGAGTAATGGAAATAAAAACAAAAATAAACAAATGGGACCTGATGAAACTTAAAAGCTTTTGCACAACAAAGCAAACTATCAACAAGACGAAAAGACAACCCTCAGAATGGGAGAAAATATTTGCAAACGAATCAACGGACAAAGTATTAATCTCCAAAATATATAAACAGCTCATGCAGCTCAATATCAAAAAAACAAACAACCCAATGAAAAACTGGGCAGAAGACCTAAATAGACATGTCTCCATAGAAGACATACAGATGGCCAAGAGGCACATGAAAAGCTGCTCAACATCCCTAATTACTAGAGAAATGCAAATCAAAACTACAATGAGGTATCACCTCACACCTCTTAGAATGGGCGTCATCAGAAAGTCTACAAATGCTGGAGAGGGTGTGGAGAAAAGGGAACCCTCTT